ATATAGATGTATGATGCAGCCAAACCTAAGTAATATTTTAGGTCTATTGACTAAGAGTATTTTAAAAGAAGGCATTGATTCTAGTTGGTACTAATTTAACTGAAAATCAGGGCAAAGAAGAGAGACAAAAGAAACACACAGGCTTTATCATGTGCTTTTAAATAAACGATAGTCATACCTACAGTATTTGAAACCCACTTGAATTTGATGTCTCTTCACAGGCACGGTCTTGCTTCTTTTTCGCTGGTCTCATGTCAGCAGTTGACTTTCATAAAGTCATTTGCTCTTGAGCACATTTGCTCAAGTTGCAGATTACATTTAGAAAGTGTACCTGTGAATTACATCCTTGCTTCCTCAGCAGTCCTTTCCATGCAGATCTGGGACTGTGCCCATTGAGAACTCAATCCCTGTCCTGCATCCAACAGTGGAGTCTTTAAGAACAGTGAGACACACACTGCTGTGGATGGCAGACTGACCCCCCAGTTACTGTATTGCTGACATCGGAACGGAGGAGAGCAACATACAAGTGAATGCCTGTAAATTAGGTGGTGATTGCCCAGAGGGAGACAATGTGCTGTGGACAGTGGAGACCCTGACAGAGGCTCAAAGCGTTCCCGTGACCCCTGCAGTGTCTGTGACCCCTTCATCTTCCAGCGGGGTGTGCAGTGTCCCAAAGACCAACATGTTACCTGATACAACACCGTCAGAGGAAACTGGACCTTTCGTTGCCTTTGATTTCGTTCACATCCCATAAAGCAGTTTTTCGTGGTTGTTCATCAGTCTTATAAGCCTGTCCAGGGAGGGTTACACTTGACATCAGTTCACCAGCAGGAAAACCACAGACAGCCCATGTTCAGGGCTGGAATCAGCCACCCACCCATCTGTGAGTTATTTACTTTGTATCTTTAGGTTACATAAGTACTGTGTGACAAAGTTGATCCTGGGGAGATGTAACATACATGTCTACTCACCCAAGATAAGAAGCTCATGACAGACAAAGGATGGATACCACTAAGGTCCAGTTTGGGGAACCAGTGAGTTCTCTTGAGGTTACATAAAGAAATATGAGTGAGGGGTCACTTATAGGACCAGAAATGACTCAAAGACAGCCACATCACCAAAGCCTACCCCAGACAGCTCACAGACCTGGGAACCAGGAGCACACTGCACAGCTTGCAGGCAGCTCAACAGGTTGGAGAGTGTCCTTTCCAGGTGCCTCATTTAGTCTAAAGCTCTTCCAGGCAGCGTGGCTGGTCTCTGCTTCTTCAGGCAGAAGCTGTAGTCTGGAGTCTTTGCAGCTCGGCTTGTCTGAGAGTGACCAAGCTCAAGGTATTGCTTCCTTGGGGGAGGGGTGGCTACTGAATCTGGTCAGCTTCAGGGACTTCTGAGGCTCTTTTGAGTTGTTACCTTCCTGCCTAAAGAACTTCCTTTCGGGATCGAGTGTTTCAACAGGGCAAGATGGCAAAATCTGCACAGAGCTGGCACAGAAGTCACTCTAGGGATTCATCTCTCACAGCATCGGAGACAATGTCCAGAGACACACCCAGGCACAATAACCATTAACTCAGGGAATCCCAAAGATAGCAGCTTCCTAGCACATGGGACTCTGTGCACCTTCATTTTTACCATATATCACTAAGCAGTATCGTTGACATATTGCCTAATCAGTTTCCCAGGAGAACAGAGTGGACCAAATGTCATGCTATCTTTGAGAAAGAGGACAGGGTTCCCCCACACTATGGTGAATGTTGAAAAAATACAGAAAACTGGGAACATATCTAAATCATGTCTAATCAGTTTCCCCATCTTACATGGCACTGGAAGAAATCCCAGGGTTTGTAAAGTGAACCTGTGGTGTCTATGGCATCTCTCCAAGAAGCTACAAGGTTGGTCTGTATATAAAAATGCCTTCCTGTTTTATTACTTCAATTTTATGGGCAGACCTAGGGTAAAGACAAAATCCACTAAATTTTCAGCACAAACGCAAGGAAAAGAGAGGCCATCAGCCTTGTCTGTGTAATAACTACAGAAAGCCCCGTAAGAGCTGGGACACCTGTTGGTTTTTAGCAGTGCTCTTACCCTGCGAGGAAAAGTCACAAAACACGACAGAATCCACTAACAAGAGTTTTATTAAGGTGAGGAGAGAGGGATAGATGTGAACAGGCCTGTGGAAAGACATGTGTGAAGGGGGGCCTGGGGAACTTGGCGCCAGATTATAAAGGCAGAGCCGCGCCTGCGCACACAGGCCCACATGGCTATTCCACACATGCGCATAGATTACATGGTTGCACTGTGTGCTTTATGCAACCATGTGGCCACGGGGTCATGGGTCACGTCGGATGTTTGACCTGGAAATGACTAGGCGAAAATGACTAAGTGTCCTGCCGGGTATGCCCAAACTTAGGGTGGTGTTGGGAATTTCTATCAACACCTGTCAAGGAAATAATGATAAACAATTCATTTTAGATGAAATGCAAAGGAGTTTTTAAAAATATAAGACAGCTTTACTGCATTGATTTTTACCTTTAGAACTTGAATATTATAATCTCTCTTTCTGTGTGTGTGTGTGTGTGTGTGTATGTATGTATGTGTGTGTGTGTGTGTGTGTGTGTCTGTCTGTCTGTCTGTCTGTGCATAACTCCTTATTCTAAATTGCCACTCTCTAAAAGGCATGGGGTCCTTGACATGGCCATGGCCATGTCAATAACATGTTTACTTGGGATTTCATTTGCTTCTGATACACTCATTCAGGGCTTTCTCTACTCACCACAAATTAGATTTCCCATCAAAAAAATCTAATTTACATAAACTGTTACATCAGATGTAACCAAAGAGAAAACATTTAGATTTTAAGCCAGTTTAACTAAATAATTTAGATTATTCAAATATTTTTATTATTAGGATTAATCAGAAATATTTAGAATGCTTAAATGGACCTAAAGATATTTCATAATTAATTGTAATTGACCTTTTGTAATAATGCCTTAGAATCTGGATCTGTAGTCTTAAGACAGAAGGGTTTCTCAAGGACAGATTATATCTTTTGTTCTTCACCATATCTTAGTAACCTAGATACTAATTAATTAAATGTTGCTATTCCCTTCTAAAGCACTCTGTGTGTGTGTGTGTGTGTGTGTGTGTGTGTGTGTGTGTGTGTGTGTATGCACATGCACATAGCTGTCTATTCTAAATTTATATGAGTCTATTAATCTCAGGACCAGTCAAATCATGAGAGCTCTCTTCCATTGAGGGAGTATACAACTTTGTCAGTTCTCTCTGTAGTTGCATGAAGATAACTTTGTCAAGAAGAAAGTCTTCTCAGCATAGTTTCGGGACAGCTCTCTCAGGATAGTTTAGGGACAGCTCTCTTAGTGTAGTTTAGGGACAGCTCTCTCAGGATAGTTTAGGGACAGCTCTCTCAGGATAGTTTAGGGACAGCTCTCTTAGTGTAGTTTAGGGACAGCTCTCTCAGTGTAGTTTAGGGACAGCTCTCTCAGAATAGTTTAGAGATAGTTCTCTTAGTGTACTTTAGGGACAGCTCTCTCAGGATAGTTTAGGGACAGCTGTCTTAGCGTAGTTTAGGGACCATTCTCAGTCTGGGCACAAATCATCTTGCTTAATTGCTTCTTGTCTTATAAAACCATCTATAAAATCTCCCTGAGCTGACCTAGGGAGAGAATCCCTTTCTCTTTTGGTTCTTGTAGAATGAAGAATCACATTCAATCTTCCTTGATTTTTAAAGTGTATTTTACTCATCTAATTAGATGTTTTTATAAAATGCATTCTCATCCTACATTTGGAGCTCTCTGAGGAAAGTTGTCCCCAAACAGCAATGATTTTCAGTGCAGCTGCAGCATCAGAATCACTTTGGAACTTTGCAAACTTTATGATCTTACCCTTGACCCGCGGGATCACACAACTCAAAAGAAAGCCCATTCGTTTGTATTTTAAAAACTCTTTGGCTGATTCTGATGTATTTTAAAGTCATTTATAAAAAAGATCTCCCATGAACCCCATACACACATAAACACCACATGGTAAGTAACTATTTGCAGCCACATACACACAAGCAGAAAGCCACTGTGCCGATTGCCATGTATAATTTTCACCAGTAATTGAAACTATGGAAATAAAGCACAGGTGGAAAATGTCCTAGACAAAAACCAGTGAGGGATCACCTGCTCCCTGAGGACTGCTGTCCCAGAATGGCTCACTCTTCAGTAAGGCAGTGAAGCACAACCACAGAATTCCTCGGGTCTCGAATTCTCTGTAAATGTGCACAGTGAGGCTGCCTGCCCCCAAATACCGAACTAACTATTCCTCTGACTGATTCACTCCCAAGGCCTAAGATCAAATGAAGGCACACCATAGAACATGAGTCTGTTCAGATGTCCACTAGACTGGAGTAAAAGTTCTGAACTCAAGAGTTCCATTTGACATGCCTTTAAAGACTGGTGGTTCACTGTTTTTAAATTCTACATCTACATGTATATCTGTTTGTTTGGATGGGCACAGAACTCAGGTCCTGTGCAAGAGCTAGAATTCTTAGTCACTGAGCTAGTTCTCCATCCTAGGTTGCATGCTTTTAAAGGGGAAGGAGAAAATAATAACACGAAAGGAATCTTGACCATTCTTATGTAGCCAGGGGCCAACCCTCATTCGCTCGGCTTTGGCATTCCCTGTGAAACACACAATCTCTGAGGTTCCTGCGAGAATTGTGGAGGAAACAGCTTAGTTATAAGCACATGTCAGAAATAGGTCATGATCTTATTGTACAAATGAAAGATCCCTGTAGATAGAATGAAAATTTCAATTGCAGAACATTTTATTGATAATTTTAATATCTAAATTTCCTTATTTCCCCCGAAAGCAAATGTGGGCTTGTTTTCCAGATCAAAGAGCAAGAATTATTATTTCCCGCGTCTACTTTGCAGGCCCACTCTCTCCTCCCCTACTGGAGATGCGGTGAGTACTGATGTCATCGGATCCACATTGCAGGGGGAGGGGCCACAAGCGCACCCCCTGCTGTGTCGTGACAAGTGTCACACAGAGGGCAGTCTCCTCTATTGAGAAACTTTATCTTCCTAATGCACACAAACTGTGTCTTCAGGACAGAGAAGCAGTTCCTAGATCTTCATTACCCTTTAGAAATAAAGTTGTAGCTCTGGGCTCTCAGCCTTAGAGGGAACTGGTTGAGACAAAATGGGCGTCCTCAGTCTCCAGAGCCCATAACTCTCTATTACTCCGCCACAC